ATTGAGAATTCTACCATTTCATGGTCGCTAAGCCCAAGACGGCCTCCGACCACCACATCTCCCACCAGTCCTTCTCTGTTTGTAAACAGCAGGTCGAGCGAGGCACCTCCCCTGGTAGGCTCACTTACCAGCTGTGTCAGGAAGTTGTCTTCCACACACTCCAGGAACCTCCTGGACTGCTTCCTCTCTGCCGTGTTGTATTTCCAGCAGTTGTCCGGGAAGTTGAAGTCCCCCACGAGAACAAGGGCCAGCGATCGAGACACCTCTGCCAGCCGCTTGTAGAACGCTTCATCCGCCTCTTCATCCTGGTTGGGTCGTCTATAACAGGTCTACTCTGACAGTAAAAGTTATCCAGCTTTTGTCTGGAAACCTCTTAGTTTCATTATTGAGGTGCTTTGAGTTCATGGTAACAAACATCACTGAGAGCAGGAGTACTGGCCGAGGTGCAGCATGAAGCTTCTTCATCCTGGTTGGGTCGTCTATAACAGGTCTACTCTGACAGTAAAAGTTATCCAGCTTTTGTCTGGAAACCTCTTAGTTTCATTATTGAGGTGCTTTGAGTTCATGGTAACAAACATCACTGAGAGCAGGAGTACTGGCCGAGGTGCAGCATGAAGCTAGCTCAGCCATGTGGCTTGGAGAACTGATTATGGCCACCTTGGAGCAGGCAGAGGAAGGGAATGATGGTCTGTGGACTTCTATTTGGATAAGCCATGGGGTCATCTTGGGAGAATGTAGGGTTCCTAAGATGAAAAACAAGAAGTTATAGCCACCTCTTTTTTTTTTATGTTTTGTTGGAGTGTATGGCAAGAAAGATATTCTAATACTTTTCTTTCCTCTTTTTCTTTTCTTCCTCCTCTCCAGTGGGAGGGTCATATAGTACATAAGGTTGATACTCACTGCTTTAATTCATTAAAAAAACCTTAAAAGAAAAAAGCCAACAATGGCAGGTTTTAGTGCTTGGGCCTTGCTTCTCATTTCCTTCGCTGACAATCCAGTTCTTCTCCCAATTACAGTGATCTGTCACTCATTAAAAAGAAAGGAAGTATAATGCTATCTTACATTACATATGCCTTGAACATTTATAATTGGAAAGAATTACAGCTTCCATCTGTGTTTTTAATTTCTTCCATTTAAAATACCTCTCCAATCTTATCGTAAAGTGCACATATGCAGTATTTCATTGCATATGGATATAAGTGTAGATATCAAAACTTAAGATTTTGTACTCTTAAATCTGAGGCTCCTTATCTGACGACTATCACATCAGACAAGTGGCTTCAGTTTTGAGTTCTTGCTGTTTCTGGCTCTGCAAACAATGTTACAGGAGAGGAAGCCAGGGAAACATCTTGTACTTTGCTGCATCAGGTCCCTCTTGTCAAAATATCACTGGTCTCAGTGGTGCCATGCTGGGAGTTCCCCGTGACCTATCTCTATAGGTGTGGGATGCCTTTCTAAAGATATTACCATGTTGCAGTGGGTGGAAGGAGCTTGCTGTTAACATATCTGATTGCTCTTTGCCTGTTTTTGCTGCCAACCAGACAAAATCTAGAAGATTAAACTTCTAGACTTCTCTGGTGGTTTAAAGAATTAGTGGGTAATGATGCTTTGAGGAAAATGTACAAGGGATTCTGCCATCAATATATAATGACTTTACCATAGAAGTTTACTTACATCACACATGAAAAGCACCATAAAAGCTCAGTTGGGGTGTAATATAGCCATGATAGTATAGCACATGCACATAAACACTGCAGTAACAAAAATTCTGTCTGAGCAGTCTGTCCAGCCATAGTCCTAAAACTCTGCAGTACTGATGACTACAGCAAACAGCTGTAAGTTTCAAGGAAGATTTCTTTTTTTTTTTTTTTTTTTTTTAATTTGTCTCTGAACTGTATCAAAGAACAAAGTCCAGGTTAGAATTGTCATTGATGTCTGTTCCTGCTCTCTTTTCTGTTTCTCTTTGAAATGTCTATGAATCTTCTAGTCACTTGAAAAAACAGAGAGGAATCTTGCCTATTTACATTGGAACTGGGTGCTGCAGAAAGACCGAGTGCAAGTCTGACTTGTGCTGGGCGTGATCCTGCATGTGATTGAAGAGACTCAGCTCTGCCTGACACAAAGGAGAGCTGAGGTTGCTCAGTGCTTCGCAGAATCAAGCCCTCCGTGACTTTCCTTAGAACTCGGTTAAGTCTCAAGCCCTGCCAAGTCCCCTTTCTAACCTAACTTTCCTAGACACATGCTACAGGCTTTTTTGACAGCAGGGTGCTTGGCAGCTATTTGAACTGTGAAAGCACCTGCTGTGTTAAGCTCATTTTCCATTCTTAGTGCTTCTTCCTTCCTTCCTTATTTCATTCTTGGGCTGGGGATCTTTCTAAGGTTAAGATCACAGGCCAGACCTTGCCAGCTTAAATAAGTATGTCATTAAAAAACCAAGAAACAAACCCAGTCCTCCTGTATCATGGACAAGAATTCAAATAATAGCCAAGAAGGATCTCTGGTGAAAGAAAGGAAGCTAGGCATAGCAAGGTGGAAGCAGATCATCATCAGATCAACTGAGAGACAGTACTCCCTTTTGTAGTCACCTATTAATAAAGAATCCTTTGTATATAAAAATATCATTCCAAATCTTGAATGTAATGGAATAATTGGTTTTGTAGGCGGACTGAGTGTGGTTCTCAAGGGGACCAATCTGGAAGGGTTGAACTTGGTGTTGTTTGGATCACAGCCTTGCCCAATTTTGGAGGATGACCGAAATTCAACAAGAATTGAATGTAAAGTTCCCTCTCGGGTAAGAAACCACATTTATTTGGGAACAGTCAGCAGCCCACAGGCCTTTCTGTGTTTTCCTCGCCTGAGCTACACTGGGGGAAGGGCAAAAAGTAGCCCATCAGCCAAGTCTTGACTATGGGACAATTTAACATGGACTCCACTTACAGTTTAGACCAGCTTAATTAACAATAGATTGATAGGTGATTTACGAAAACCAGTGAAACAGTCAGCAAAAAATCCAGATTGCATCATCATTAGCTAAGCCTCACATAAACAAAACTGTGGCTTTGAACTCCAGTAAAATTGCATGTCTCCAATTTCAGCTTAGTGTATACTAGTAGTTTAAACATGCTTGGGACAATTGCTCTTGCTCATATTGTTGAACCCTCTTCAGCTCCAAATGTTCTACTTTACATCCAGATCTCCTCCGGACATTATATGTGTGTCATTCAAAAACTTGCCTAGGGACTGCTAGCAGCAGTGTTCTTTGTTGCATGGCAAAATTATACCCAGGACAATACTAATATTTTAAGTGTAGGGTTAACTGTCTATGCCTATGACTTAGAATCATCATAGAATCATTAAGGTTGGAAAATACCTCTAAGATCATCGAGTCCAACTGTCAACCCAACACCACCATGCCCACTAAACCATGCCCCTAAACGCTTCATCTACACAGCTTTTAAATACTTCCAGAGATGGTGACTCAACCACTTCCCTGGGCAGCCTGGTCCAATCTTTAACCACTCTTTCAGTAAAGACATTTTTCCTCATGTCCAATCTAAACCTCCCCTGGCGCAACTTGAGGCCGTTTCCTCTCGTCCTATCGCTTGTTCCTTGGGAGAAGAGACCGACACCCACCTCGCTACAACCTCCTTTCAGGTGGTTGTAGAGAGCGATGAGGTCTCCCCTCAGCCTCCTTTTCTCCAGGCTAAACAACCCCAGTTCCCTCAGACACTCCTCATAAGACTTGTTCTCCAGACCCCTCACCAGCCTCGTTGCCCTTCTCTGGACACGCTCCAGCACCTCAGCGTCCTTCTTGTAGTGAGGGGCCCAAAACTGAACACAGTATTTGAGGTGCAGCCTCACCAGGGCCGAGTACAGGGGCACGATCACTTCCCTACTCCTGCTGGCCACACTATTTCTGATACAGGCCAGGATGCCATTGGCCTTCTTGGCCGCCTGGGCACACTGCCGGCTCATGGTCAGCCGGCTGTCGACCAGCACCCCCAGGTCCTTTTCTGCTGGGTACCTTTCCAGCCACTCTTACTTACCATTGTTTAATTTACTAGGATGGGTATAACAAGTGAAAATCTGCATAGTCTGGGATTGTTTTCAAGTTTATAACTCTCCATAGAATTTCCTTTAAAGACAACGTAACTGCACACATTTAAGTAGAGTCCGGTGTATATATATAAATTTTGTCAGTGCCCATGTGCCTGACTTATTAAGTATGGGCCATACAGGAATATAGGGAATAACTTTTTTTATTGGTGCATTCTTATCCCTGACATTTTCTTCATTTCTGCTTCTAGGGGACAGAAGATGCTGCTGTCCAGGTGACACTAATTTCTGGGTACCAGTCAACAACAGTAACCAACTTGTTCCAGTATGATCCTTCCTTAAACCCTACTGTTATATCACTGAGCAGAAACAGAAGTGGCATAGCAGGTGAAAAGACTGCGGACATGTATTGGGCATTGTCTGTAGAAGTCTTATTATTGCTGATGGTGGTGGGGCAGAGGGAATTTAGGTCTATGGAGTTTGGTGATCTGACACTGTTTTTTTGTTGTTTTCTTTTAATTTGTAGCCCCGTGTTTCCTGCTAGTCCTGATCAGTCCTAGTTGTTTTATGTTGTTTTTACTCTAGCATACATGAGAAAGGCTGAGAGAGTTGGGGTTGTTCAGCCTAGAGAAGAGAAGGCTTCGGGGAGACCTTCTTGCAGCCTTTCAGTGCTTAAAGGGGGCTTATAAAAAAGATAGCAGTAAACTTTTTAGCAGGGCCTGTTGTGACAGGACAAGGGGGAATGGCTTTAAACTAAAGGGGGGTAGATTGAGACTAGACAAAAGGAAGAAATTTTTTACGCTGAGGGTGGTGAGACACTGGCACAGGTTGCCCAGAGAGGTGGTGGATGCCCCATCCCTGGAAACATTCCAGGTCAGGTTGGACGGGGCTCTGAGCAACCTGATCTAGTTGAAGATGTCCCTGCCCACGGCAGGGGGGCTAGACTAGATGACTTTTAGAGGTCCCTTCCAACCCAAACTATTCTATGATTCTATAAATGCTTCAGATAGCTGAATGTATCACATGAATTTGACCCTAAATAAAAAAGCACTTCACCAGCACTTTCTTTTGTGTCACGTTTTTCTAACTCTGGTCTGAAATTATCCCTTTTGTGGTTTAACCTCAGCCAGCAATGAAGCCCCACACAGCCGCTTGCTCACTCCCCCCTAGTGGGATGGGGGAGAGAACTGGAACGGTAAAAGTGAGAAAACTCGTGGGTTGAGATAAAGGCAGTTCAATAGGTAAAGCAAAAGCCGCACACACAAGCAAAGCAAAACAAGGAATTCATTCACTCCTTCCCATGGGCAGGCAGGTGTTCAGCCATCTCCAGGAAAGCAGGGCTCCATCACGCGTAACGGTTACTTGGGAAGACAAATGCCATCGCTCCAAACGTCCCCCACTTCCTTCTTTGTCCTCCAGCTTTATATGACATCACATGGTGTCGAATATCCCTTTGGTCAGTTGGGGTCAGCTGTCCTGGCTGTGCCCCCTCCCAGCTTCTTGTGCACCTCCAGCTCTCCCAGTCGGCAGAGCATGGGAAACTGAAAAGTCCCTGACCAGTGTAAGCACTGCTCAGCAACAACTAAAACATCAGCGTGTTATCAACATTGTTCTCGTCCCAAATCCAAAACACAGCACTGTACCAGCTACCAGGAAGGAAACCAACTCTATCCCTGCCGAAACCAGGACAATCCCACCCATTCGTTCTTGGTAACAGGTTCAGCCATGACAAGAGAAATGAGCTCTAGAGAGTGTCCTCTCTGAGAGAGAGGAAGGAAGATAAGAGAAAGGCAGAAATATTCCTGCTTTCCTACCCACCCCACCCCCGTTCCTCCAAGGATGCAATCCTCTCTTGGTTTTTTTTATTTTTTCTCATCTCCTTGTGCAACCTCTCCAGTGCACACCTTAATAAAGCTCCCCCCAGCTCAGCAGTTTGGCTGGACTTGGTGGGGATGCAAGGGGTTAGGTGACTGCCAGTGACGAAATGTTCTTCTTGCTGCACGCCCAGCATTTCTATTCCTTTCCCCAAATGCCCTTGTCATTTTCTATTACTCCGGAATGCATAAATAAGAGAAAAACCTCCTTTATCATCTGAATATTATTCAGATACCATAGCACCAAGGGGAGATTTTTCTAGCCGCGGGCAGCCCAGGTGCAAGGAATTCCTTAATGTTATAATGTCTCGTGAACAGTGGTGTGGCTGAGTTCAATCTTCTATTCAGAACCTCCACGGCTTCGGCTTTTAATATAATTTTCCTCCTATACAATAAAAAGAATAAATAAATTACACTGATGCCTTCCAGGCATATCTAGGATTAAGTTGACAATTGACCAAGAGTCCAAAGAGTTCATGTTATTAATATATTCACCTTCGCACGCTTTCAAACTTTCAAACTTTATTTGACTCTTTGTGCGTGCAGAATCGAAAAGTACTGGCTTCAAGACCTGCTTAGAGGAGCTGGTAGATGAGGGGAGCTTTGTACAGACTCTCATGCTTCATGAAAGGGAGAGAATTCTCCAAAGCTGAGGCTGCGGTGCTGAATGCTAACGGGGACCATACCTGCTGCGGAGGCAATGCTAAAGCCAAGCGACCTTGGCCTCTGCTTGGAAGAAAAAAACGCTACTCAGATCTGAACCTCTAGTAAGGATGGGCTAATCCATAAAAGTTCATTTTGATTAAGACAAGGTGAGAGTGTAAAGCAGATGAGCTGCTCTTGACTGTTGTCCTGTGCGGCTGGGATAACAGTGCCACGTGCAGCATTGCTTTTAAAATGGAGTGAGCTCAGTGAAAAAGAGGAATGGACAAAAATGAAGCTGCTCTGGGACAGCTGATCTTCACCAACTGTTCTGGAGCAACTCTATGGGTAGACAAGTGTTTCGGGCTGGCTGGCCTAAGCAGATGGTAAAGAAATGTTAACACCTTTTGCTTGATGAATTTAGGAAAGGGGTTTATGTAACATAGTGGTCTATGACAGCAGGGAGTTGGACTTGAAGACCCCTTCTTGTCCTGTTTATTTTTGCTTCTCTGCAATTGAACCCCCACCCTTCAGAGGAGAGAGGAGGGTGAGATTTACCTCCTAAATATGTCTCTGTGCTTGTTGCTTAGATGTCTTGCAAAGTCAGTGAAGAGAAATAGGCGATTCTGTGGTGGGATTCACCACAGCCCTTTTGAATGTCTTCCTTACAATAAGATGAATCATGCCATAAAAGCTCTGTTTCTCTTCACTGGCTACAGATATAGCTCTCAGTGAAAATGCTTTTATTTGGACTGATGCATAACACTCTAATTTTTTAAGCTATTTCAGGAGGAATTTAGGTTATGAAATTCCCTTCTCTACTGCCCTTGTCTTTTTCTATTACTGCAGTATGCACAAATAAAGGAAAGTATCTTCTATCATCTGAATATAATTTGGCTCACAACAGAGCTTAAATGGGAGAGAGCGCCACGTTTCCTGAAAACAAGGTGCTTTGGAGCATATGTGGGCATCTGACTTCAGGTACCCAAGGCAATTTTCATCTAGCTTTGGGAGGCCCCTGTTAAATTTAGATAGCTCAATAGTGTTGAAAAATGTGGTCTGGATCATTTGTCAGGGATTTTGGAAAAATCCCGGAATTCCTCAGCTCCAGTTTATGTGAGCTTTAGAAAGACTGGATTTGGCTCTAATCAGCTGGAGATAGTTATAGGATAGACGTTTATGGGAAGGGAGCATGGATCCTATCCTGAGTGTGTATCAGCAGGCTGAGAGTGGCCATAGATGGTCATAGCCAAGTTCACTGTGCTAACGTCTCAAGACAACCCTGGTGGCTGGTGACCTTACCAGAGACTCCAAGGGATGAGTAGGATACAGAACCACTGTTGTCTTCTAGTTTTTGTTGTGGGCTGATGGACGTGAGTGGACCTGTTCTGGCATGATGGGACTCCATCCTCTTCCTCGGGCAATGGTTACGCGTGCTAAAATAACTGTTGCCAGAAACACTGAAATAGTTTCATCCATTCTTCTCTCTGCAGGGGGTCAGGAGCTTCAAATTGGAATATCCCAGTTTGCCAGCTACCGAGGGTCAGATATCAAGGTGCAAATTGGGGGCTCATGGGCACAGATCCAGGCGCAGACGGACCATGGTGTTAATGTGACGCTTCCAGCCTTGGCTGCGGGATGGTACAATGTTTCTGTCATCATCAATGGCATTGCTGTCGCTTCAAACAGGTGTGTGAATGCATGTACTTTCCTTAAGATTTAAATTTCATTCTCTGTCCTATTTGGTATTTTAGGGTTAATCTGAAAGAGACAGGTAAGAGTTTTCACAAATTCTGTACCTAACAGTGAAATCTGCAGTGTGGTATAAAATTATGAATAATTATCAAGGCATTTATTGATCTGTGGAACCCAAGTCAGCAAACTGCTAATGCTAGTCAATTAACTCCCCTTGAATCAGTAGGAGGCAGGAGAGAAACATTTTAGAAAAAACAGTTGATTTGATGAAAAATGCATATCCAGGCAATCAAAGGTATTCACAGATTCAGGTCAAATGCAGATAAATCCTGCTGTAGGAAAACAGCAGAAAAAAAGAAACACTTTTCATGAGAAAAACAAAAGCTAGTTTGAAAAATAAAAAAAAATGCTTTGTTTGGAGAATTTTTAAATTGTGCTATTTCCATCTTTTAAGGTGACACTTCAAGTTCATGCCTAGATAACTGTAGTATAAATAAATTAAAATGTGGGGGAAAACCGACCTGAAAGTGGGATGCAACAATGCATTCACAAGCAACACAGTTTTGCTCCTCAGCCACGCAGCTCTCATCCATGACAGCTACTAAGAATGATCCTGAAGCAATGGTACTGGGGAGAAGGGAGCTGCTTTTATTGCTCACAAACCACCCTAAGCTGCTTGTTGCATTAATGAACTTCAGAAGGAGAAAGCCTGTGGTCGGTGGGATGAAATGCAGGGATTCATCCCATCTGATACTGGAGTCTGTTAGCAGCACCATCACTTTGATTCCAGGGACAGAGAGTGGAGGGAGATGGGTCATCCCAGGAGACAGCTCCGATCTCTGGTGGGCTGGATTGCAGGCTTGGGAAGGCCTACTTCTCTAACGTGTCTTTTTAGGGCAGGGGGTGTTTTTGAAAAGAGAGTGATGAGGAGGATAAATAGATGTAGGTGGAACAGAAGCAGAGCTACACCCTTATCTGAGTGGGCTTAAGGAGTTTATGTCTGGGTTTCCTCCTGCTGCAGTTACCTCCGCTGTCTGGTGGGGGGATGTAAGGAGGGAAGGCAGCCGGGATGTCTCTTTGCTGCACTTGCATCTCCTGTCTGTGGCTACAGTGGGATCTGTTTGGCAGAAAGCCCCTCATTCTTGCTTCGTTTGATGGGCAATTCAGTTGTGCCTCATGGACTGAGCTTGGCTTACAGGCTGCCACTTGATAAGACAGTGTTCCTAATAGATGTAGCTCAAATCACATGGAAAAATTTGGGGTGGGGGGCAGTCTTGTCATTGTGGCATTGAACAAGGGGCATGTGCCAGGTGGGCATTTGACCTTCCAACCTCGAAGGAGTTGTAAGAAAGCATAGCGCTGCAGTAGGAGAGAAAAATAAAAAAAACCAAACCACCCCCCCCAACCTTTCTATGTTGCTTGTGTTTTGCAGGGTTGAGCCGTTAATCCAGTACCTCTCAGAGATCTTCAGCACAGAGCCATGTTGTGGCTCCTTTCTGGGTAAACAGCGTCGGTACATCTGCAGGCACTTGTGGAGGTTAAAGGGATCAAGGGCACAGTTTTCCTGCAGGGATGGAAAGGGCATCCCATTCCACATCAGTTTAAATGCGGGTGTTTTAAAACTGTGACCCTTTATTATGCAGGCATCCACCGGCAGACAGCAGCAGTCTGGAAATGTGGGATTGTAGTGAGCATCCCTCGATCTGGTTGGCTGGCTCAGGGTCCCTGTGCTTTGAATTTGATTTCCCAAAGTGTTTGCTCATGTATCCTTGCATGTTCCCATTGGGAAAACAAAGCACACCCACACCTGACTCATCTGTGCTGTTTCTTTCAGTCATTACGTCTCCATCTTTCAAGGCTTTCTATGTGAAAGTTAGGTGGAAAGTTAGGGTACAATAGTGGTCTGAAGCAAACAATAATTTCAAGTGATCCCAAAGGGGACATTCATTTTTGTTAAGTTGAAAAGACAAAAAAAACCCTTTTTTTGATGTTAATTTTAATCAAAAGTGAAATATTTATTAATCCCATTCCAAGCTTTTAAACATTGGAAATAATTTAAGTGTGTTTCAGAGCAAAACATCACTGAATTAAAAAGAAAAGTTTTACTTTAAATCTTAAAAAGCAGATTTGGGTGGTTGATTTATTTTGTCATTTGGCTGGGGATGGGGGAAAGTTGAATCTCTGTAGTGAATTTTACATGAGCCCTTAGAAACACTTTTATAGAAGACAGAGAAATTCCTGTGATGCAACCTCAGGTCCTCCACAGATTGCTCTCCCAGGCTCACAACACATGTAAAGATACAAAAACTCAGAGGCTTTGTGGTACGTGATTAGTTCAATAGTTTGTGAAGTGTCCAAGCCTTGAAAGATGAGAGAGTGGATAGGGTCTGCATAGCAAAGGCTACCAGTTTTGAAGATTAAGCTATACTAAAAAAAAAAAAAAAAAAAAAAGAATTGCACCCTTCTTTTCATATTTAAGGGTAAATTGGAATTTAAATAAGAGCTGATTAACTCTTTGGCTGTAGTTTTATGAATGCCTTAAGCTGACTTAGAATCTCATCGCTGCAAAAAGCAGCAGTCCTTTCCCCACCTTATCTCTAGTCTTTTGTTGTCTCTAACACTTGTGTGGCCATCTGGATTAAGGGTTTGAGCTCACTCAAAAGGAACCCCATTATAAAACAACTTATTTTTCAGCCAGATCATGGGAAAAGGAAGGACACGGGCTTTATGGATAAAGAGGGTGAAGCAAGGCAGGACACTGGGAGTGCCAGTACTGCAAACTAAATGAAGATGGAGACAGACTTCAGATGGCTTTAAGGGAGGCAGCTCTGGACTTGGAAGCATGGGATTAGGCTGGGAATGCTGGGGGGTTTGCCTCTTTGTCTTTATCACATCCTAAAATCCAGACTGCTCCTTCTTCAGTGCTGCTCTTATTCTCAGCAACCTAGGAGGCAGTGCCGATACTGCTGCTCTGCAATGTTATATAAATCACGATATCAGGATTCACGTTTATTCCAGATAACACCTACTGTCAGTGGCAAGGGTGGTAGCAGAGCCTCCCAAGGCTCCTTCTCCTGACAATGTGGCGAGGAAGACTCCACTGCCATGTTGTAGAATAACTGTGTTGCATCAGACCTAAGATAGCCTGTCTCCCAGAGTGACCTAAATATAGGATGATTTAGGAAGATTATATGAGTGGAGCAGTGTATGATGATACTTCTCTACAACAGTCTTCCAGCTTCCAACACTAGACACAAGGGCAGCCTCAGCTGGAGGTCATAACTTTGTGTCTAACTCTTCCTGAATTGCTTTTCCGTATGAATGATCCTACCAGTTCACACCAGGAGTCTGTTTACCCATTTGCCGTCTTCTTCTGTGGTCTTACGTAGATGCCTAGGGAATAAAAACATCCAGGCAACCACAGGGGAAAGCAGACAGCGTGCCTTCCTCCAGCCCATGCATGGGAAGCCCTGGTCAGAGTTGCCTTTGACAGTGGAGGGGGAACTGCTCTTCTCTTCCTCTTCCCGTTCTACCCATCTTAAATGGTGCAGACTGGGAACATATTAAGTACGGGAGGGCTTGAAGCTGGAAGCATTCATCAATGTATCAGCTTTTCTGGTCAGTGAACTCCTCAAGGGCAAGTGACCATCAGTGCATGGCAAATCTGGCACTCTGCCTGAGTGGCTGAAGATTGAAGGAAGGTCTGTAGTTCTGGCTTTTTGTTTGAAAGTATTCATACTGCATCCTGCTTCCCTGTGTGCAGCAGGACCAAACAATCTCTACCATCTCCCCACCTGCCTGCATAGACAGTCCCATTCCCTGAAGAGCTCAGTCTCTGTTTACTCTCAGGGGTCCTCTCACAACAGCTTCCTCCAGTTCTGTGGTGGCTTTCTACTGTCACTAGCTGCCATGATGCTGGCTATCTGGTACCTTAGCCTCTTGTCCACGTAGGATCATCCTGATACATGACTGCTACGTGTCTTGCTCCAAAAAAGGACTTAATTTCTTCTTCCATTTGACCTGGCTAACACTGTCTGCAATGCTTGTCAGCTTTATCATGGTTTGTTTGTTCACTAACAGTCTTTGATTGATTCTTTTCCTGCATATAATGTCCTCCTCTCTTGTTTTGTTTTATTCCTAGGTGGAACACTGCTCACAATCTCTGGGGCGGGCTTTAGCCAAAACCCTGCCCTGGTTTCTGTTTCAATGAACAGGCAAACCTGTACGGTTACTCATTTGGCAGAAGACACAGTTTGGTGTCTGACCCCGCCAGCTGCTAATTTGTCTAATGAAGATTCACAAGACATCTCTGTCAGAGTAAACGTAGTCATCAGCAGTAGGTCAGTTCAACATACTCTTTTTGCAAAAAGGACCACCACCTTTAATTACCAAAGAGCTATGACTCCTCTGATCACTGTTGTTGAAATGGAAATCACAGATAGCAGCGTGCTCTTGAGTATCCAGGGGATAAACATCACTGGATCTGTGGCTAAGCTTGGACACAGTGAATGTGAACTTGAGTTTCGACGTGGCAACAAGTTTGCAATGTTTTATCAGTGTTCTTTGCCACTGAACAGCCTGGAACCCGGGACTTTCCCCATCCAGGTTATCCAGAGGCAGCTAGGATATGCTCGTGTGACAGCAAGGCTGCAGGCCCTTACAATAACTCCACGGATAACCTCCATATCCCCATCACAAGGATCAATCTGTGGTGGGATGTTACTCACTATATCTGGTACTGCTTTAAAATCCAGGAGGAATTTGGTAGAGGTCAGCCTGGATGGTAATTATTCCTGTGAGATCCAGAACTCTGGTAACGATGCCATTAGTTGTATTGTGCTTCCAGGGGCCCATCCTTTGAATTACCAGTGGTTGTCTGAGGCATCTTGGGCTCTTAATGTCACAGTGACTGTCAATGGGATCAGCAGTGTCTGCCTTGGAGACTGTACACTCCACCTTCATGAGCAGTGGACCCCCCTTGTGGATTTGGTGACCTGGGAGACCAATGGGACATTCACCTATGTGATGATCAAAGGACAGAGGTTGGCATGGTCAAGTGACAGGCCTGTGGTACATGTGAATAACCAGGCTGTCTGCAAGGTAACTTTTTGGAATGAGACCAGCATCAAGTGCCAGACACACTGCATTGCCCCGGGGCAGCACAACATTTCCATACCCAACAGGAAAAGTGGGCAAGCTTGCTTCAGAAAGGCGTCCCGTGTTCTCACCATCCTGCCTCAGGTGTACCGGTTTTACCCACAAAACTTCAGTACCAATGGTGGAGGCCTGCTCACCTTAGCAGGCTCGGCACTGAAAGGAAAGACAACGACTTCTGTTCTCATTGATCATCACCCTTGCCTTGTTCTCAATGTCACCTGTGTAGCTATCCAGTGCACGGTGCCTCCGGGTAATGGGACTAGGACTTTGAGTCTAAAAATAGATGGCATCTCGTATTACCTTGGAAGAATAAGTTACAACAAAGAGTTTACCCCCGCTTTCCTTTCGCTTGTTGCAGCTGGTCTCCTTTTAACAATGACCGTCTCACGGGTCACAGAGGTGGACACCATCTACGTATTTGTCGGAGACTTTGCTTGTAGTGGTGTCACCATCACTCACTCTACTTTGCAGTGCTCAGCTCCTCTGCTCCCTGTTGGCGAGTACCGTGTGCTGGGCTTGGATGTCCCCAGGGGCTGGGCTTCCTCTAACCTGACGTTCACCTCTCAGCTGATGGTGACAGCTGTGCATCACAACTGGGGTAAGTCACGAAGACTTATTGTAGCTCCTCCATGGGGTGCAGTGTGAGGGACTGAGGTGACTGGTTTGGTTTTTTTTTTGGTATGAAAGTAAAGATTATGATTTAAAAAAATACCCTTCTTCACAGGTGGCTGTCAGGCTCTGTCTTAAATCCCTTTTTCTCTCCTTTTCCAAGGTGGCTTGAATGGAGGAGCAGTTTACCTGCGTGGAACTGGGTTTTCCCCAAGGAAGACTTTGGTCACAGTCTGTGGCACCCCCTGTGAAATGTTGGGCAACACGACGATGACTGGCCTGAGCTGCCTTGCCCCACGCTTACACGGTCAGCTAAGACACAAAACCTGCCATTGTGTTAAAAGTATCCCCTAAAAACCTATATTGACCCCAAAAAAATGGAGGGGGGGGGAGGGGGC